TTTTTTTTAGTTTTTTTTTTAGTAATAATTTTTTTAATTTTAATTTTTTTTTAATTTTTAATTTTTTTAATAATTTTTTAATTTTTTTAATTTTTTCATTTTTTTAATAATTTAATTTTTTAATAAATTTTTGAAGATTAACCTCTTGATCTACAGTTTGTGATGTAAGTTGTGGATCATTAAAATAACCATCCATAAGACCAGCACCACGGAAACATACTTCACCTTTATTTTCATCCGCACTATATCCCATTTCTTTTACGTCCACTAATTTTACCTAAATGATCATGTGACAAATGACAATTCATTGAGGAAATGTTTATGAATTTAAATAAAAAAAAAAAATTTAGGAAGCAAATATTTTGCAAAAAATTGTAAAATTGACTTGTGCCCAAACCGCTGGTCCACCAACATGTCCACCAATTGTATCAAATGGTAATGATATGGTACCAGCTGCGGAACATTCTGTTTGACCATAGCTATAAACAATTGTAAATTTATTTTGAATCATTTCGGTTATGAAATTTTTAATTTAACTTTTTTCTTAATTTATTAATTAATTTTGGAATTATTTATCAAAAAATATTTTTTATATGTTTTTTTTTTTTTCTTTCAATTTTTTGTTATATAATTTTTTTGATACATTTGAAAAAATTTTTCATATTTAAAAGGGGTAATTTTTAAGAATTTTATTAAATTCTTAAAAAAAAATATAACAATTACCCTTCAATCAATAAACAACCATAAACAACCCGTGAGAAATTCATCACATGGGCGGAAATTGGTGCGCCACCAGATGTAATTAATCGCATTTGACCACCAAGAAGAGCTCGAGTTTTTTTGAATACTGTCTTATCCCATATTGTATTGAAATGAAGTTGACCTTTGGCTAATTGTCGTAATTTGCACTAAATATTTGTATTTAATGAATTTTTAAAATTGTCACAATATTTTCGCAAAATCCATTACACATATAAATTGTTTTATAATTAGAAATAATGAAATTAAAATTGTTAAAAAAAGAAATATTTTTGAACCTTTCATTAAGTAAATTATCAATTTTCGCTATGATAAATGGTTTATTTCTTATTAAGTAAAATACAAATAATTTTTTTATTCCTTTTCAATTACTAATTTTTAAATTATTCAAAATACAAATAATGCTTTAAAATATTTCATTTTTAAATTTCACAAGTAACTTCATAAATAATTCGTTTAAACATTCGAAAGAATTATTTGTTTTTTGAGTAATTTCATTTTGAATCACTAATTTTTAAATTATTCAAAACACAAATAATGGTTTAAAATATTTCATTTTTAAATTTTACAAATAACGTCATAAATAATTCGTTCAAAACTTCACTTTTAAACTACTAATTTTCAAATTCCTCAAAACACAAATAATTCTTTTCAATATTTCATTTTTAAATTCCATAAATAATTCATTCAGATACTTCATTTTTAAACTATTAATTTTTAAATTATTTAAAATCCAAATAATTCTTTTCAATATTTCATTTTTAAATTTTATAAGTGATACATTTAAATACTTTATTTTTAAATTACTATTTTTTATACTACTCAAAATACAAATAATCCTTTCTAAATATTTCATTTTTTAATTACAAATTTTTAAATTAATTCAAAATAAATGAATTAACAAAAACAGTACTTTTAATGCTATATTAAAGATGAATCGTTTGATAATATTTTGCTTTAATACATTTTCCATTACAATATCATGATAACGATTTAGTAATCGTGGTACTAAGGCTGTAATTGTTGGTTGTAATAATTGCATATCATGAATTAATCGTTTTGGATTACCACCAAATATACCAATTCGACCACCAATATAAACAATAAAT